TTTCAAATCAAAGGCTAACTATTTAACTATCCAGCCAAATTTAGTATTTTGAGCGAGCAGCGATCCAGACGAAAGTCGAAAACTATGATTTTTTACGATTTGTGGATATAAGTCTGCTCCTATCAAAATATCTACTGGACGAGATTCAAGGAAATCGGGATCTGCCAAAACTATATTTGACAAATCCGATTTAAGATCCGAAGTAATCGAAATGGATGGAAGATTTCCCGATATGGAATCTACTACCAATGCTGACGTTTCCAAACTGTGAGACCTATTACGACAACTACCCAGTTTAAATGAACATATTTTTCGACAAGTTGTGGCAACAGTACTATTTACTCCACGAATTGTCGAAATTGTGGGTTTAACCGGCAATTTCAATTTCTTGTGAAGCCGTTTAGAAATGAAAGACGACTCAGAAGCCGGATCTATTAACGCCCGAGCAGGAAAACAAGCACCATTATTATCAATATTGACCATGGTTGTTCCCAATAGAACTGCTTTGTTCTGCGTGGCGTGAAATGTCTGTCGAATAGCAGTGCCGACCGATGCGGGTGGATTAATCACAGTGGAAGAGGACGAACCATTACTATTTACATTAAAATTTCGTGGTCGAAAAGCTGGTGCCGAAGACGATAAATTCGAGTTTGTGCGAGTCACCATCTGACTCGGAGCGCTCACAATAGAGCTATCTCTGTGCAATAGAGTATGATGTCTCTGATTGCACTTTCGACAAGTACGACTGTTACAATTTTTGACTTCGTGTCCCCTACGAAGACAATTTACACACAAACGATGCTTTTTGACCAATTTAAATCTATCGGCAGGTGTACTATTTACAAACATAGAGCAAAGATGTACTCGGTGTTGCTCTGAACAAAGTGCACAACAAGAATCAGAGGACGAACGAGAAGTAGATGGTGCACATTTAGACGAAACGGAATTGATTTTATTATTCGATTTTGACACAGTGTTAACATTTCTCATTTCGTGCAAACACAGAAGAGTACGAATTCTCTCTGTCAAGAATGCATCTAACTCTTTCCAAGATGAAAGAGACGATTTGGATTTAACACTTTGCTCCCATAAAGCGTGTCAATTTGGGAAATTTTTGCAAACAAATAAATACCACGATCGGATCCCAATTATCCGTAGGTATGTCATAGATTGCCATTGCGGAAAGACAACTATTAATTCCGCGTTGAAGTGACTTAAGTCCTGAACTACTTTCCTGATCCAGCACAGGAAGGCCAAACAACATTTTCAAATGGCTATGAACAATAAGACGTGGATTATCATAAGTGGAATTCAAGGCATTCCACGCTGGTTCAAAACTCCGATGAGTTAAAGGAAATTTCGAGACGATTTCTCGAGCCTCACCACTAGTTTTACTCACCAGATGACATAGACGCTCAATGTCTGTCAATCGGGAGTTATGAATGTATACCGCACTAAACAAATCTCTGAATGTGGGCCAATCAAGAATATTTCCACTGAAAATATCAATAGGACAGGGAGGAATCGCTAGACTATGAATGTTATCTGCGTTTAGAGGGTCTACGACAAAGCTTTGGTCTATTCTAGTATTCCCAATATTCATTATTGTGGAACTAGATGCCTGTGTTCTCACATCACGAGAAGAGTGGGTCGAGCTCACGTTTTTAACGGTGGCATCAACTGAGAGAGTTCCCGGAAGAATATTGTCGGGATGCTCCGTTACCGACACTACTGAATTGCTCGAAGAAGAATTCAGGGATGATTTATTAGAACCTCTGATGTTAGATAACAATCGATTTATAACTGATGAACAATGCATATATTCTTTTGACGAGACCGCATACTGGCTATACAATGAATCGAGATCTTCAGGATTTTCTACGTGGGAGAGACAATTATTAAAAGTTTCCTCGACAGATTTCCACAATTTTTTAATTTCTTCACTCCTAACCTCAAGATCATATATATATCTAATTCTTCTTCCTTCAATGCACCGAAGTGTGCAGTGAATCTCACAATAGAGGTGGAAGCACGGATAAATAAATTCATAGGGGTGAAAGCCATTTTATAAATTTAACCAAAAATTTGAAACAATTATAAGTTCAGTAACTCAGTGGAACACACAAGAAATATTATAATCAAATAAAATAATACAAACAGGATGAAGACTTGCACTTTCAAATAAAAATTCAAAAATTATTCCAGAGGGAACGAAATTTCCCAAAAATGTAATTTTATAAGACGAATTAGCGAATCAGAATACGAAAAGGTAATTTATCTCTATAGCTTTCAATAAAATCTAGTTTGAATATCTTCACAAATCAAATATGAGATATATAAATTACCGTATAATGGTGCAAAAAATATACAAAAATCTATATATATAAAAATGAATTTCTGTTTGTTTGTTTGTTAGTTTGTTTGTTTGATCAGTGTTAGCTATAGACTCCTAAACTACTGAACCGATTTTCATGAAATTTTCACAGACGATTTTTGAGTACATTTGTGGTAACATAGGGTACTTTATGTTTTGATAGGGGCAGGGGAAGCAGTAGCCCCCATACAAATTGCCCCTTCTATTTGATTAGAATTTGCCATGTTGAAAATAGGCAATGGTGGAAATGGCTTATCATTGCCATAATGTTAGTGAATATACAAACCACAGATATATATACTATCCAATGGTGAATATATTCTTTATTAAGTTCACAAACCATCCTTCTTTAGGAGTTTCCAATTCGCTATTTGTTTTTAGGAAAATTATGGTGAAAATGAAAACGGTGGAAATATCAGATAGAATTGTACTGAATAAGAAGTGTAGTAAATAACTGTACAGTACGTCTAAATTAGGCAATTCATAAAGTGTGATATTGTGTCCTATTGGTTGTCTTTGCTAAACATATTTCATATAAAAAATTATTTGATAATACAATTCTATATGTGTTTAAGTGTGCTAAGTTAATCAGTACATTGTTTACAAAAAAGCAAGAATTTGCCAAATACGCCCAATAAATTCATATCGGAAGTAAGAAAATATTTTAGTATTGGTAATATGTGCAAGGACAAATTTACCACCGCATGGGATCTCTGTTGCCAATTCCTAATGAAGATCCAAAGTTTTTGCAAATTTATTTTATGGGACAACCAGATGAACAAGTACAACAACGTCAACGTTATAATCCAGAAACGAAGCAGCGTGTTGTAGCTGATTTGCAAGAAATGTTTCATGGCTGCAATCAACTAATAAGGACTTTTAAGCAAGCTAGAGATGATCCAAGACTGTGTTCAGATGAACATTTCATTGCTATTCATGCTGACAAAACACCGGCTGGACAGCATCAAGGACGCTACAATGCACCTACGATTGATGATGTGGCAATATTGGTAATTGGTGAGCCGACCGCGCCACGTGATATTATTATTCGCCGACGGGATGAAAGAGTAAATAGAATAGCTGAGACCCACCGATCATATGACGCTCTTCAGTATCCCATTATTTTCCCATATGGTGAAGATGGATACCACTTCGGATTACGACAAATCAATACATAGACAAGTAAGTAAATTGATTGTTACCTTATATTGTACCCAAACTCAATTGTATTCAATTCTAATTTCTTTTGTTTTTTTTAATTACAGATGAACCAACAAATAAAAAAGTGAGTTCGATGAATTTTTATGCATATCGCATAATGATTCGTAGAAACACTTTAAACCATATTGTCAACTGCCGGGAGCTATTTCATCAATATATTGTTGACATGTACGCTAAAATTGAGACGGAACGTCTTATGTACATTCATCACAATCAATCCAAACTTCGAGTGGATAATTACATTCATTTGCAAGATGCCATAAATAGTAATATTGATGTAAATCCAAATGAATTAGGACGTGCTATAATACTACCAGCAACATTCACCGGTAGTCCACGCCATATGCAGGAATATACGCAAGATGCTATGGCATATGTGCGATCTTATGGTAGACCTGATCTATTCATTACGTTTACATGTAATCCAAAGTGGGAGGAAATCACTAGCGAATTATCTTGCGGGCAAACATCAGCACATCGACACGATATAACAGCACGTGTCTTCAAGCAAAAATTAAAATCTTTAATGGACTTCATTGTAAAGATGCATATTTTTGGAGAAACACGATGTTGGATGTACTCAGTCGAATGGCAAAAGCGCGGTTTGCCGCACGCCCACATTTTAATATGGTTAGTTGAAAAAATTACACCTAATCTCATTGATAGTGTAATTTCAGCTGAGATACCTGATCCCAACAATGATCCTCAATTGCATGATATTGTAATAAAAAATATGGTTCATGGTCCGTGTGGAACCATTAATCCAAATTCTCCATGCATGGTGGATGGAAAGTGCACTAAGAAGTATCCACGGCAGTTGCTTAAAGAAACTATATCGGGTATTGATGGCTATCCGCTTTATCGGCGACGATCAGTGGAAGATGGTGGTAAAAGAACTACAGTGAAGGCCCGCAACATCGACGTTGATATTGATAACCGCTGGATAGTACCGTATTGTCCGTTACTTTCAAAAACTTTTAAGGCACATATCAACGTAGAATATTGCAGTTCGGTAAAATCAATTAAATACGTTTGCAAATACGTAAACAAAGGATCCGACGTGGCAGTATTTTCCTTCCGAAATCCAAATGATGAAGTAACGAATTATCAAATGGCTCGATATATCAGCAGCAATGAAGCAGTTTGGCGAATTTTAGGACTTCCAATACATGAACGTCATCCAACTGTTGTTCATCTTGCAGTACATCTTGAAAATGGACAACGTGTGTATTTTACTGAGGCAAATGCAAATGGACAAGTACAACATTAACATCATTTTTCGATTTATGTAGAAATGATTCGTTTGCCAAAACTTTGCTTTATGCTGAAGTCCCAACATACTTTACTTGGAACGCATCATCAAAAAAATTCCAACGCCGTAAGCAAGGAAAAGCAGTTGAAGGATGGGAAAATCTTTATTCCACAGATGCTATGGGTAGGATATATACGGTTCATCCTCAGAATGCAGAATGCTTCTATTTAAGAATGCTTCTAATAAACGTTCGTGGACCAACATCATTTGAAAATTTGCGCACAGTGGATGGCCAAATATGTGCAACGTATCGTGAGGCGTGTCAAAAATTGCAATTGCTGGAAAACGATGATCATTGGGAAACGACACTTGCGGAAGCTTCGGCAACAAGGCATCCACGCCAATTAAGAGCATTGTTTGCAATTATATTGGTTACTTGCTCACCATCTAATCCGAAACTACTTTGGGATAAATTCAAGGAGGATATGGCGGAAAATATATTGCATCAACATAGAGCAGATAATAATGATCCAGCACTAGAATTTTCGGATACAATTTTTAATGAATGCTTAATTTTACTAGAAGACAGATGTATGGAAATTAAAAATAAACATCACATTGAAGTTGGAATGGTCGCCCCAATTCGTCCTATTAGTGATCCATATGAAAGAGATTTACTTCGAGAAACCGATTACCATCCACAAGAATTGGAAATTTACCTGGGAGAAAATTTGCCAAAGTTGCAACTTGAACAAAAAAATATCTACGATTATGTAATGGATGCTATAATAAACCAAACCGGTGGTTTACATTTCATAGATGCACCCGGTGGAACAGGAAAAACATTTCTAATTTCACTAATCTTAGCCAGCGTCCGGTCTCAAGGTAATATTGCGTTAGCTATTGCATCTTCAGGAATTGCCGCAACGCTTTTGGATGGTGGCAGAACAGCACACTCTGCACTGAAATTACCATTAAAATGGCAATTTTCTGAGGATTACACATGCAACATCAGAAAGAACTCATCAATGGGTAAAGTTTTACAAACGTGCAAAATCATAGTATGGGATGAATGTACCATGGCACATAAAAAATCTTTAGAAGCCCTTAACCGCACTTTACAGGATTTGCGGAACAACACCAATTTATTTGGAGGTGCTTTTATTCTACTAGCTGGAGATTTTCGTCAAACTCTACCTGTCATTCCGGGTTCAACACCAGCAGATGAGCTGAATGCATGTTTAAAATCTTCTTTCCTTTGGAGTCATGTTAAAACGCTTAAATTAACTACAAATATGCGTGTAGCTCTTGAAAACAATACACCAGCTTTACAATTTTCTAATCAATTGCTAGATTTAGGAAATGGAAAAATGCCAGTCAATCCAGCAACAAATTGCATTACATTTCCACCCGACTTTTGTAAAATGACACAATCTATTGAAGATCTGATTATTTCCATATTTCCAAATATTGACCGCAATTTCAAAAATACGCAATGGTTATGTGAACGTGCATTATTGGCTGCTAAAAATGTTGACGTTAACTATATAAACAACATTATCCTGAATAGAATCGGTGGAAGTATAAAAACATATAATTCCATCGATACCGTAATGGAGGAAATGATGTCGTCAATTATCCGATTGAATTCCTAAATTCACTCGATCTTCCAGGTTTTCCACCACATGTGCTGCAATTGAAAATTGGTGTACCTATCCTTTTATTGCGAAACATTGATCCTCCAAAACTATGCAATGGAACTCGACTTACTGTGAAAAAATTACACAATAACATAATCGAAGCGACTATCATAACTGGAAAATATAAAGGCGAAAACGTAATGCTACCACGAATTCCAATGATAACTTCCGAACTTCCATTTAACTTTAAACGTTTACAGTTTCCTGTTCGATTAGCCTTTGCAATGACAATTAATAAGTCGCAAGGTCAATCTCTTAAAGTCTGTGGATTAAATTTAGAAAATCCGTGTTTCTCACATGGTCAGCTTTATGCTCACGAGTGGGAAATCCATCAAATCTTTTTATTTATGCTCCTGACGGGAAAACGAAAAACATCGTCTATCCAAAAGCATTAGAATAATAATTAAGATAATAATATTAGTATTAAGAAAATTATTAACAAATGTATTTAACGTATTTGATACTTTGTTATAAGCTAGAAATTAACGAATTAAGAAAAATATACTCAATAAATCCAAACCTAAAAAATTTTTTTATTATTTTATATGTTTCACATATTTTTTCTATTATACATATGTACATATATTGGCATTATAATTTTTAATTTTTGTCAGTTTGTGGTAAAAAAAACAAAACAAAAATATTGATAGAAATAGTGTGTATTTTCATTATAAATTTTTTGGTCATTCGGAAGACACGTTAAAAGTCGGATTTTGATCAATCATAAGATGTGCAAAATAGTTAGTTATTATATTAAGTGTCATTATCTGTAGTGTTTATGAGGGCAAATAAAAAACAAGCAGCTGCATATAGGTGGCTATTCAACTTTAACGTTGATAACTGTAGTAGGTGCAGCGAAGCGCCACGGGTCCAGCTAGTCTCTGATAAAATTTACGAAAATCCACAACAACGAAAATAAACTACCAATTGTAGCTAAACAGCTTTAAATCAAATACAACAACTACCGATTGTAGCGTAAATTATCAAAATAACAACAAAAACAAATATGTAAAATATACACCATACACAATACAAATGTCCAAACGACCGATTGTAGGGCATAAAAATATTCACAAAAAATATTAAAAATCCAAAAAATTAAATAATTTGCAACTATATGCACAATAAAATACAAATAAATATGTTAAATTCAATAAATGAAATGTGAGCAACAATATGCTAAATAAGCACTCTACACTATACAAAAGTCCAATTGACCGATTGTAGGGTGCGCTGGATTTTAAAATGTCCAAAATTATGTAAATATTATTCCCTGACACAAATATTATATTTACCATAAAATATAATATTATGTGTCACTGTCCTAATATACCAGCCGGGGACTGTGTAATAATACACTGGCCGGAGACCGTGCAATAAAACGGACACAACAGAAAAGGAAATATGCGAAAATGTAATATGTATGCTTACATGCGTGTGTATATCTATGCATGCAAGTGACTGGCTGACCAACTAGCCAGAACAACAAAGCGACGATGCTGGAATATGTAACAATACGTACGTGTGTAAATCAACAATTAGGCAGCCACGAATAGGCTGTAAACGTACGTATGTCACAGGAAGATTTATGAATATATTTTTGTATATTATCGATGCCTTCAATATGACAAATAATAACAACAATCAAAACATGAATATTGAGGGATGTTGTTCGCGAATTTAACAACAACAAATTACCGATATGTAAACAATATTGGCTCTACGAATTTAGAGAAAATATGAAAGCAAAAATTCAAATTTTGTTTCAATGTTCCCTTATGACTGTCCGCGAATGGACTTTGACCGATCGCCAACAAAAGGAGGGAATCCGTGACGCGTTGTAACGACGGCCACACAAACAAACGAAACACTATTGTTTTTATTGTAATTGCTCACTTTCACTATACGTACCAATAATTATTTTAATAATAATGCTGTGGACTGTAATAGCAGCAACCCAATGGTCTTATCCAAAAGAAGCCAATCCGTATCGCGGCTCGAAGTGACCAACTGTTAAGTCCGCACTATAGGGACTTGGGTGGTTGGCAGGTACAGTGCAATCGATTCTCCCGATAGAGTCAGTGCGCCCAATACGCACTCGTGAGCAAAAATAAAAGATAATAAATAAAAACACAATAGTTTTATTAATAAAAGGTTCGGCCAATGCCGATATTTATTGTTGGTAAACGATATTACCTTTAGCACAACGATATGTGCGCTGCTTACAATTTAAGCCTAAGTGTTCACAACAATATGTGTGGCCAGTAGAAAGGTTACAACGAGAGTAGTCAAGTAATAACAATGCTTGTTGACATATAGATGCCTTAAGGTGGCGCAAACTCAAAAATGTAAACAAAGGCCGTTGAAATCTGTCAGTCTCTTACTATTACAAGGATGTAATAAAGAGGAGTGAACAGATTTCAACGGCTATTGCCTTTCAAATCAAAGGCTAACTATTTAACTATTTTAAATAACAATTCTTGCTTAAACACAATGTTTTGAAGATAGTACGAGATCGTTCGGGAATTGATGCTTTATAATTTTCCAAAAATGATTAAAACATCTTTTTAGTCCCCGTATTTGAATACTGCAGAGAACATTGAGTAAAATATAAAAAGCCATAAAATTTCAAGTCTAAAAATAGCTTATATGGAAAACTTGGTAAAATCTATGCCGGAAAGGTTAAACGCTATAAACGACAACAAGGATATCATATTTAGTATTAACCATCCAAAAAATCCCTTTATGTAAAAAAACCTTTATCGTGATATTTTTCATTGTGATGCTGTAGGTGCTTTTGTTTAACATTCAATATTTTTTATGTTGAATTTACATAAAATGTTCATGTTCACATATAAAAAGAATAAAGTTTAATTTATTGGCATTATGGCATATTATTATATTATATTATTTGAGTAGTCTTTATCAAACTATCGGCAACGAGTAACAATTTTTTTAGAAAATAATATTATGGTTTTTAATCAATAAATTTACGGAGTACAATAAAACACTATATACGGATCAAAATACAATATTCATAATCTCGTATATAAAAAAATAGCATAAATAATCAGGCTTTTTACATATTATACATTATAGAATACAGTATATTTTAATTTTAAACTGGGATAAATGTTTTATAGATATCTTCTTTTGTCCGATAATATTAATTAAAATAAAACTGTAATTAGCTACTTACGTTGGCCATCCTTCAAATGTAGATACCGTAAATAATGTTAACATAGCTTTTGCTACGTCATCAAAGTGAAACTTATTGTTTCTCCATTCTCTCTCTTTTAATCGTGGTTTATTGATGTCTCCATTTTCGTAGAACAAGTACGTGCCACTAAAACAAATTGTGCGTAATTATCATATGTTTTTTTTTATATACCCTTCACCACACTGTGGTACAGGGTATTATGTCTTTGTGCATATGTTTGTAACAGGCAAAAGGAAACGAGATAGACACATGGTTCCTTTTGAGAATATGCATAGAATCACTTTCTAAGTCGATTTATGCATGTCCGTCCGTCCGTCTGTCTGTCTGTCTGTCCATGTTAAATTGTAAACAAAGTACAGGTCACATTTATGATCCGAATTGGATGAAATTTGGCATAGGTCACTTATTCGGCCCAAGGACGAACCCTATTGAAATTGGGAAAAATCGGTTCAGATTTAGATATAGCCCCCATATATATATTTAACCGATTTAATGTAAACGGTCCCTATATATCTTTCGATTTGCACGAAATTTGTTACAGCCTAATCATTTAGGTCCAGAATGATGTCTGCCAAGTTTCGTGAAAATCGGTCCAGATTTAGATATAGCTCCCATATATAGTTTCGTCCGATTTCATGTAAATGGTGCACCAAAGTCATTATATATCTTTCGATTTGCACCAAATTTGGCATAACGTACTGAACTGAGTCTAGAATTATGTATGCCAAGTTTCGTGAAAATCGGTCCAGATTTAGATATGGCTCCCATATATAGTTTCGTCCGATTTCATGTAAATGGTGCCCCAAAGTCCCTATATATCTTTTGATTTGCTCGAAATTTGGCATATCGTACAGAATTAAGCCTAGAGTGATGTCTGCCAAGTTTCGAGAAAATCGGTGCGGATTTAGATATAGCTCCCATATATAGTTTCGTCCGATTAATTGGAAATGGTGCCCCAAAGTCCTTATATATCTTTCGATTTGCACGAAATTTGGCATAACGTACTGAATTGAGCCTAGAATGATGTCTGCCTTGATTCGTGAAAATCGGTCCTGATTTAGATATAGCTCCCATATATAGTTTCGTCCGATTTCATGTAAATGGTGCCCCAAAGTTCCTATATATCTTTCGATTTGCACGAAATTTAGCATAACGTACTGAATTGAGCCTAGAATGATGTCTGCCAAGTTTCGTGAAAATCGGTCCGGATTGAGATATAGCTCCCATATATAGTTTCGCCCGATTTCATATAAATGGTGCACCAAAGTCCCTATATATCCTTCGATTTGGACGAAATTTGGCATAATGTACTGAATTGAGCCTAGAGTGATGTCTGTCTAGTTTCGAGAAAATCGGTCCAGATTTAGATATAGTCCCATATATAGTTTCGTCCGATTTAATCTAAATGGTGCCCCAAAGTCCCTATATCTTTCGATTTACACGAAATTCGGCATATCGTACTGAATTAATCCTGGAGTGGTGTCTGCCAAGTCTCGAGAAAATCGCTCCGGATTTAGATATAGCTCCCATATATAGTTTCGTCCGATTTAATGTAAATGGTGCCCCAAAGTCCCTATATATCTTTCGATTTGCACGAAATTTGGCATAACGTACTGAATTGAGCCTGGAATGATGTCTACCAATTTTCGTGAAAATCGGTCCTGATTTAGATAGCTCACATATATAGTTTCGTCCGATTTCATATGAATGGTGCACCAAAGTCCCTATATATCCT